TCGCCTGTTTTGTCACAAACATAATTCACATCTTTCTTCAGGCACTGTAAACAAGAGAAATGGTTTAATGGCTCCATAAAAGGCACTCTGTGCTGATAGCTGAGATTAGACCCTTTAGTAATGGATTTTTGTGTGCTGGGGGAAGGGGAAGGCTTGGCAGAAGTAAATGTACTGGAAAAGAATCTCTGAGAGACTGATGTATCTGGAGTGCCTGCTGCATTTCTGCGTGTGTTGGGAGGTGGATTTAAAGTGTGACAGTATAGGCTTTATCAGTACAAGGGCCTGCTCTTCTTGTTTTTTGAATTTTACTGAGTACTAACTTGAGTTACCCTGGTTAGTTCAGCACCTGGAGTTGTGGTGGTATTAACTCAGAAATTTTTCCACATCTTCTCTCTTTTTGTCTTGCTGTTATAAAAATCCCCTCTATTCAAACCTGTTCATGAAATCTCTCTGTATTTACGTTGCATATTAACAGTTTTGTCTCAGTCAATCATAAAAATGAATCAGTTTATTTGCAAAGTTGGGTTTAGAGAGTGGTGTGAGGCCATAAATTTGAAAAGCAAATCAAAAACGCACAGCAGAAATGTTCAAGGCATTATGACTTCCAGTGACCTCTTTGTTGCATCCTTTTCTCTGCAGCTATGCAAAGTTCTCAAACTTAATGCAGATGAATGTAGTATTACTTCCAGGGTCATTTAATTTAACTAAGAACCAATTTTGCTGTTGATCTTATATAATAAATTATCCTGGAATTGTTGATAATAAGACATTTTTATCTTTTTTTGGTCTGTGGAATCAAGACCTGCTGTTTGCCAGCATCATAGAATTACCGGTATTATTTAATGCCTTTAAAAAATATGTTTAAATCAGTTCTTCACAAAGCAAAATCCAATTTTATATTGCATTCTAATAGGAACCTGAAGTTTGAAAATTTTAAAATATCTTTTTTTTTTTTTTTTTACTCAAAGGAAAAATGCCTTGCAATTTCATCTGAAATATGTATTGTTTCTTCATCTTGAATAATCATTTTTTGAATAGAAAAGATTATGAAATCTTGGCTTTAATATTTGATGTAGTGCATTTCTTAGGCTTTCTCAAAAGAAGAGCTCAGTTCTGTCTGTAAAGAGATGGTACAGTTCCTGTTTGCTAGCCTAGGAAGCATGCAAAGTCTCCTCTAAGACAAATAGATTCCTTCTTTTAATTTCAGAGTTGTTAATAATAGTATTCTCCTTGTAGGTTTTAAACTGGGTGTTATGAGCAAAGTGTTTGTTACTTGTCAGCAGCAATCCCCAGTCAAAGGAGTGTGGCACTTGAAAACAAGGGGTATCTGCATGTTCTGTGCGAGTTCGTTACATGGTGACACTGTCACTGTTTTGTGTAAAACCTAAGTATGTAAAAAACATCTAAAAAACTCAGCTAATATAAGACTATATGTTCTGTATTAGATATAACATGCAAGCTCTCTAAATATGCAGATCTAGATAGATAAACCTATACACGGCGAATATGCTATGTGTATTATAACATGATCAGTTGGCTACAGATGGTAGCAGTCCTGCTTGCCTTATGTCTGCACATTGGCTTCAGAGACAGGGTCTGTGCTTTGAGCCTGTTATGGTCCTGACACACCTGACTTTCCAGTGCTTGAGATGATGTGTTGAAGCTGGCCATCTAAATACCGGTTGTAAGGTTCTTTGCTTATCAAGTTGGGAAGTAGTTATCTGTAAGTAATCACTTGGGATGAAATCCTGGCCCTTGGTCACTTCTTAAAAAGGTTGTTTTAAAGTAGAGTACCTGTTAACTGTAATAGGGTTGAGACTGTGTTCTGGGGTTAAACAAAATGAATTTACCATCAAGAATGAAGTAGTGAGGAGCTGGTTGTTTGAAATGGCAATTTTTTAATTTGGATGTGTTGGTAGCTGGGTGTGCTGTGCTAAAATTAGCAACCTTGCTCTTATCAGAAGAAAACTGATAGAAAAAAGTCATATGAAATACAGTTTAGCAAAGCCGTGTACGTTTAAAAACTGTTATAATCGGCAGCCTGTGAAATGAGTGCCGTACTAAAATGAAGAGCAGTGGATGAAGGTGGCAGTGATGATGTGAGGACCTGTTTTGAATGCTTGAAATTTTACTATTGGAATAAGTCTGTCATCTTCAGCCACACTTCAGATGTGGTTTTAAAGGTCAAGAGGCATTTGAGAATGCCCTCCCAAAGCGAACCAAGTGTTTTTCCTTTCTTCCTCTAAAAGTGTACACTTAAAAGTTACAGATAAAGCTTAGCATGGTGACTGTGTCAGGAGACTGCCTGAAGAAGGCTTTAAATTTTACAGCTACATTATCTTTCTGGCCATAGTTAAGATAAAGATCTAATATAAAATCACTTTGAACTGTAATGCTTTCCTTAAATAAAATGAAGGCGTTCACCTACTTGATTTGATACACTTTACCCTGGCTTATAAAGCTGGGAGGAAGGTGAGGTAAACTTTAATTAAAACTACAGCACAGATGCCTCCTAGCACCGTGCCCTGTACCTTGCTAGGACTGTACAGTAAGCAAAATAAAAATGTACCTCGCAGCCGAGGCAGCAGGCTGGAGCCGTGTTCAGTGAAAGTAATTTAATTAGTGTTGATCATGACTCCAGATGATGGTGATTTGATAAGGAATAATTTAGTACTTAACAGCCTTTTACATGCACCAACTCCATGTGGGAAGGTAAAGCAAATTGCACAAAATGAATGTGCTGCTTTCACTTGTGCCTGTGCCAGTGAGCTGGAAAACTGCCTGTTAGCAGACGTTCAGGCTCTCAGCGCTGTGATGAAATACCCAGCCAGTTCTCCGTGCAGGGCTGTGGTGTGGGAGTCTCTGTACTCCCGTTATTTAAAAATAAATAAGGGAAGTAATTTTTCATAACAGATTAACTTTGAGGAAGTAGCAATGTTAAAATAAAAAAAAATAAAAATAAAAAGTCGAGCAGAGTGTGGCCTTGGTGCAAACATGTGATACTGGCTTTAGAGAAGAGTCTTGTTAGGGTTGTGGTTTAATTCTGTGATCCAAGTTGGGGAGCTTGCCGACCTCTGTGTCAGAGTCATCATTCTGGAGATAGAGCTTCCATCCCACACTGAAACATGCAGCACTGCAGTGCTGTCTGACCAAGGCACGTGAGGATAGCCAGCAGTGAAAGTTCACTCATGAAAACCTGAAGCAAACAGCTGGGGGTCAGCCTGATTTCTGATAAGAGTGGAAAGCTGACCATGGGCTGCAGGTTGCTTTATTATTAAATTTCAAAACCTTTATTCAATGTTTTGTTTTACTGCGGGTTCATGTAATTTTATTCAGAAAGATTTCTTACTGTGATATTCACTACTTTTTACCTCTGTAAGTTACTGTGCTGTATTTCTTGCTTGCGTTACTCTCTTCTTTTACTGCACAGTCTTTCCATGAGGAATGACTGCTGTTCACCAAATATGATAACTGAGTAGAGGTCTTAGAGACAATTCTTGTGAGTTTTGTGAATATATGTGTGAAAATAATAAGGCAACATCTTTCACACTGTCTCAGCTTAGAGCTAATACTATGAGCTGTCATATTAGCAGGTAGAAGAGAACTTGTTTGGGAAAGAGTTCTTTGAATGTTGCCCAGTTGCAGGAAGACCAGTGGTGAGAATCAGAAATCAATGTCTAACACACTTGTAAATCAGGTTTTATTGGTACTGTTGTTTACTTGTAGTGTTTCATTTACCAGTCAAATATGTCCATGTTTGTGCCCATGCAGTGGTAAAAAATAGTCTGTAACCAATTGTCTTTCCTAAGGTCAGGTATAGGGGAAGGGACAAAATACCACCTAACAGTACGTAACAGGAACTTAATTTTGCAGTGAAGATTCTCTAATGGGATGCTGCATGTAAGTGGCTTCCTCCAGAGATACAAATGCTTTTGTCAGGCTGCAGTGCGATGTCTGAACTATGGTGTTTCCGTGACAAAACCACCACAAATCAGTCATAAGAGTTACTCTCCAAACTCTAGACTGCTTAGAGTCCAAAAATTGATTTGAAATCTCATTTTATTTAAAATTTGAAGGGCATGTTTTCACACTGTTAAATATCTGTCGTTAGTCCTTTGTCCTTCTAGCCACTTAATTTAGATTTGCCTGTGTTAGGTGAACTTTGAATTTTCTTCTGCTTTAATTTTAGTTAATGTTGGCTATGAATAAGGAAAGTTGGTTGGCTTAAACTAATCTGCTGGTTAACCTTATCTTTACCTTTGTCCTTTTCCTTAATCCAAACCAACTTGTGCTTCTCTTTGATGATGCATTTCTGTCATATCCCTCTCTTCTTTTTGCTATATATAAAAAAAGCATAATTTTTTCTCCGTTTCTTTCTATATCCCATTTCATGTTGAATTTGGTGAGGCGAGAATTTCGAGAAAAATTACTGAAGGCATTTCTTGTGTATTTTCTCAGCTATTGCTTATAACTAAAGAAATATAATGACCCAGTTTCTTAAGTTTCACTACAAATTTGCATGTATTCTGTGGGACAAAAAGATAATGGATCATATACTTTAGGCTATTATATGATAAATGTATTTTTGAAAAATTGGTGTGGCACTCATTGAAGTGAACTGCTATTGCATTTATAGATAAAAGCTATCTCACAAATATTACTTAGAAACATTTGGTTCCTGGGAAGTATTTTGCCTCTGACAACATTTACAGTAGCTAAGCCAAATATATGTGGGCTGTTATTTTCCTACTAATGAGATGGGATCCTGGCCATCATTCTATTAAACAATAAAAGTGGTAATAGTCAATGCAAAGGATCTCTGGTGTGTATTTTTCAGTTGATACCCAAAGAAATGCTTGAAATGTTTATTTCCTATATTGTTTTTAGTATTGCAATGGTTTAATTAATCATGTGTTTAATTAACAGTGTCTAGTTTACTTGAGAAAGCTCATTGTTAATATTGTACTTGGTTTTTAATTACATTTTCTTTCTCTTTCCAGTGGCTTTTCATGGTCTCCCTGTGAAAATCAAGAAGGAACCCCATAGCCCATGTTCAGAACTTGGCTCTGCTTGCAGTCAAGAGCAACCATTCAAGTTCAGTTATGGGGAAAAGTGCCTGTACAATGTCAGGTAAAACAATCAGGAGTATGTCTACAGTGAGAACTGCTGGTTTAAATGAGGACTGACTAAAGAGTAATAAAGCCATAATAGAGATCTTATAAAAGTTACCTCTTCAGCAGATAACAGACTGATGAGATAATGCTCTTAGCTGATGAACATCGATGGTGTTGTTTACAGTTTTATGAAACACATAACTGTTTTAAAGCAGTGTTTTTCATCAAAATGCATATTCTCCATTCCTTCTCCATGGGAGATAGCCAGAATTTTAAAACCTATGGTGCAAGCATGAAATGGAAGGAGTGTCTGGTTTTTTGTGAGTTGTGTTGAAAATACTTTCAAGATGCACTACACACATTAGGAAAGAGAGTAAACTCTGTGTAACAAACTGGCAGATCTGAACAGCACCTTAGATATTTGACATGTTTTGAAATGACATATGCCTACATTCAAGGATGACTGCAATTTGAAATAGTATTTCATTAGAATCTGCATCTTTGCTATCTTTTCAAAAGAAAATTGTCAGTTTTTATAAGGGTAAACAGTAAAAGCTTTAATTATTCTGAGGGGCTTGATGTGACTGCATTCTTTATTGATTTTCTTTTGGCTTGCACTTACATGTCACTCCTACCTTCAGTGTCAACAGCAAAGGGTTTCTTATTGACAATTCAGTCTATTTATATCTTTAAATTTGCTGGTGAGTTCTTGTTCACATTAATGTACTACCAAAACTGAGAGCACTTAAATCATTTGCATTAACTTTTTTTATGTGGAAGAAAAGAAAAAAACAGACTGGCACCTTTACCAGTCAGACAGGATTGGTTTTGATTACAAAAATCAAACCTGTGTGTTAATGGATCTAATGGATGCTGGGGGACCTGACATAGGAAAGTGTGCAAGTTCATGCTTACTGTCTGCTTCACATCTGTGTTTTTACTGTTTGGAAACAGGAATGATCAAAGTGTGCTGATGCCCTTTTCTCATTTGGGACACCTTTGTATTTGCAGGACTTGAACATTATTTTTGAGAGAGAGGGAAAAAAAAAACTGTCAGGGGAGGCTGCTGACATCCTATGTGGGTAGCAAAGCCAGCATAGCATTGTTTTTCTGGGTCAGATCCCTTCCCTCTAGCTGCATTCATTGTTTCACTGTCTCACTTTGTGATTTGTACAAGTTATAAAAAGAGTTTTGACAGGCACTGCCAGCTCTTCATGCTCTAGTCCAGGTGCTTTTACATCTGTGTATTTTGTGTATCCCTTGTTAGAATGTCACTGTAAGACTGAATCCTTTAAAAATACATTTCTAGGTTCCAGAGAAGAAAATGCTATGTTGAGCCACTTACCTCCAAAGTGATTTTTTTTTCTGTGCTCTTTTCAGTGTAGAGAGTTTCTCTTCCCTAAACTGCTTAATAAAGTATCTGTAATAGAAAACCTGAATGTGATGCTTTTTTCTCTCTCTCTTAATGTGCTTCATGTGTTTGCTGAGAAAAAAAACCTGACCATCCTTCCTCTTGCTTTACTGATAGTGCCTATGATCAGAAGCCACAAGTGGGAATGAGGCCCTCCAACCCACCAACGCCATCCAGCACTCCTGTGTCACCACTGCACCATGCCTCCCCAAACTCAGCTCAGACTCCTAAACCTGACCGGGTTTTCCCTGCTCATCTCCCTCCTTCCCAATCCATTCAAGACAACAGCTTCCCTATGGACCACAGGTAAAATGCAAAACACATACAGGACCTGTCAAGAAGGCATTTCAGTGATGGCTACACGTCTCTAATAAAGGGCAGCACTGGCTTCAAGCCAGCAAAGTTCAGAATGTCAGAAATACGTGTGTTGTGTAAAAAAGTGGCACTCTGCTTGATGGACTTCAGTAGAAGTCGATCTTGGCACTGACAGTTTTAATAAGCTGGTTCTACTGCCTTGTGAGGGCAATTCACTTGAGGCTAGTAAGCCCCATGAGGTGATGAAGTCACTAGCAGACATGATCCTGGCTATAAGTATCTTGCATCCTCCTAAGAAATGTACCTACAAAGAGATAAGTGGCTGTATTACGATGTTAGTGCTTGAGAATATTCTTTGGAAGGGTGGATCATTTTTCCAACTGCTTTTGAAATATAGCATTTCAAACAAACTAAGATGCCAACATAAACTGCGCTTAAATAACATTAGTCTGAGTAAAAGCCACAAGAGTTGGAGTCTAGAATTAAAGCTTAAACTGTCCTTAAGTCACCCTGTTTTGTTTTGATGTTAGAAATCCCTAGACAACTGACTGTCTTTCTTAGCTCTGTTTTGCAACAAATACGCTCAGTGAATTTCCCTTATTTTTTGAGACCAGACACTTGTTTGTGGAATTCTATTCATTCTAACCATTGTAACAAGAACCTGTGTTTGCTGAATTGTGCAGTTTCTCAGAGCATTTTGCTTTTCAGCTATATATAGATATATAAGTTCAGCAACTTGTCTTAGTGCTTACAGTTTAACAAATTGTTAATGAATTGTTAAACTGTACCTGAAAAGAAAATCACAGATTTTGGGAGCATGCTTCTGCTCTAATAAGGGCTATTATCTCCAGGGATTTGTGCAGATCACTTCTGAAGGAGGTTGCTATGGTTTATATTGCTATTTTGTGCCCTACTAGGATAGTATTAAATATCACCAAGATTCCTATGAGCATGTCTAGCTCATTGGAGCTAGACATTGTCTAGCTTATTGAAGGAGCACTGAATTGGGCCCTTCAACTGCACTGTGTAGTTTCCCCCCCCCCCCCCCCCTGCACTGCTGTCTAACCAAGTTGACCTCTGGTGAAGCTAGGCTGCAATTCTGATTGTAAGAGTGTGGTTAAATGTGTTTCTCTGTACACACACAAGTCATTGTGTATTGTCATAAGACTAAAATCCCCCAAAGACAAGTGGATTTTGTGTAAGAGAGTATTTTACAGGTTGGTTTTTTTTTTAATTATTATTTAATTATTATTTTAGAGCCATTTGTGAAGAGAATACTGAAGCTCCATGTCAGCCTGAATTTGAATGATTATGGAGGTTTATCTTTCTGTGACTGTAATAATTACTCTATGTAAGCTTTGTAAGCTTTATGGGTTCCTTACACTTTTTTTTTTCCTGTGTCTTTGAAGTTCATTTTCTTTGGGAAATTTTGCACTTGTGCTTCCCTTCGTGATGTGATAAAATATCACATTTTTGTGAATATCAAATTACCTGGGGTAAAAATCTCCTTTTTCAACCTTTATAAAGAAAAGTACAATTATAGTGGAAGATGTTTTTCCCCCATTTTCTTCTTTACTTCGAATCTTCTCATTTGATGTTGTTTGAAACAAATGTACACTTCATATTTTTGTGCAATTCAAATCTTCCTGATTTACAAGATGGTAGCTGTAATGAGTGCATTCAGAAAATATCATTTAAACAAATGGTCTACCTATATACATTTGTATATAAATCTGTAACTCCAAGTATATTGGAGTTACTGCAACGTGCATTGGTGGTATAAGATAGAATCAGTATCTAGAAGATACAGCCCATACATCTTCATACTGGGCATGAATATATGAGAGATAAGTGGTCCTAACAAGTACCAACAGGAATCAAATCCACTTGTGTAAACAAATGACTTGATTCCATACAAAGCTTCCAGTACAACAAGTATTATTAACTTCCTTTGAGGCTTTGTGAGTGAGTCTGTTTCTTATTTTAACTTCAAGTTGCAATTTTCTGATTCACTCCTTGACAGTTCTTAATGATAATTTCTGCTTCTTTTTTTGGCTAATGAAAAAAGGAAAAGAGGGAAATGAATACATTGCCAGTCAGCCTGTTTCATAATACATTTGAGTTTCTAAGTTTATTTTCTGCAGGTGTAGGTGGAATTGCAGAAACCAATGGTACAGTGTAATATTCTTTGTACTGCAGAATAGAATATTTACAGCAACATTAAAAAATTAATTTTATCTCTAGTTCTACATTGTAATCATTTCTATCCCTGTAGCTCCCACAGTATTTGTAATTAAGCTATGATGGTAAATATTTCTCGGGCTAAGTTTGCAGGAGTATTTTGACAGATGTTAGGGTTTCAATTATTTCAAAAACATGTACTGCATATAAGATGATTTTCAAGGACTGTGTTACTTATGCAATCAAAACCCTGCATTCTTCTTCACTTGCTCCGTTTTGTCCAAGACAATGTCTGCTTTTGCTGGCATGAGCCAAACTCAGTTCCACTGCGGAGTACAAGAAGCTGAAGAATGACTAGTTCTTCATTTTTGGTGCGACAATGCTAGACTTGCAGAGAAAGGCGCTTTTTAAAAAAGAGGAATAGTGAGTGGTTAGTTGGGGTAGTAAGCACTTTGTTGCAAGAACATTGTTGCACCTGCTGTGGATTAGAAAAGGCATAGTTCTGGCGGTGATAGTTACCCCCAGTCTGGTAATCTGTAGATCGCACAAGACTGTGGGGTTTGTCAGAGCAGGGTGGGAAAATAGCATCCTTGTATTCTGTAGGCTTCTGAACCTGCAGATGTCCAAGTAATTACATTCAAAACTTCTAGTTTTATGAAGAGAGAAACAAATGCAAGTTCATGAGTAGTGATGCATGGAAATGAGGTTGATTTATAACTGAATGCTCAGATTTTATGTGTACTGAATAACATTTTGGAGTAGTGAATGACAACATGGCCTGTGTGGACTTCTTCCTTCATGTAGAAATGATCATGGGAAGAAGTTGGTGCAGGATGAAAATTCTTATGCTTTATTTCTCTTAGCAAAAGTCTGTACCCTATCCTTTTTCTGGAGTGCTTAAATTCCCTTCTGAAATGCAGTGCCACCTTTGCAGGTAGACCTTTGTCCCCAAGGGAACAGAACTGTATACTTTTACTTGGGCATGATTCCAGGAATTGAGACAAGCAATATTCTTTGCTTACAATGATTGTGTTTGTTGTAGTGGTCAGAATGGTTTCTATGTAACAGAACTGCAAGAGTAAATTAGAGTACAAGCAATATGCTATTCATGCTCATGAAAGAACAGAGAAATCCATGTTACTGTTGTAGTATAACTTTTTGCTGTTTGGACTCCTCTGTTGAGAGACGTTGAAGGCAAGGAATATGGTGTTGGGGGCAGGTATTAGAGTTGGTATTAATAGGTGGGGGGTTTATTTCTTTGTTTCTTGCTGTTCTGCAGCACTGCCATGATCATAATCCTGGTGGGGAGTGTTTAGCATTATCATAAACAAAATGTTTGCTACTGAGAAAGTGATAAAGCCATTCCCTCCTGCTAACCATAATCCGTGAAGATCTTTGTGAAATGGAATGTAGCTTAAGTCCTTTACACGACCTCTCTAACTTGTGTCCTAGATTTCGCCGCCAGCTCTCTGAACCTTGCAATTCTTTTCCACCTTTGCCTGCAATGCCAAGGGAAGGACGTCCAATATATCAGCGGCAGATGTCTGAGCCTAACATCCCCTTCCCACCTCAAGGTTTTAAGCAGGAGTATCACGATCCAGTTTATGAACACAACACTATGGTTGGCAGTGCAGCCAGTCAAAATTTCCCCCCTCCTCTGATGATTAAACAGGAACCTAGAGATTTTGCATATGATTCAGGTAGGTGAGACTCTCTTTATTTCTGCATAGTAAAGTAATAAATGAGTCCAAGGTAGTGTTATTGATGTTTTGATCATATTAATTGAAACTTGCTCCTTTGACTTTAAATGTCTCAAAGTAATTTATGTCCAGTGAGCCTTACAAAATCATAAGACTGCCACATATAGCACCATGTTCTTGTGCCACTGTTTCCTTGTCTTGGTCTGTAGAGGATTTCACTTCCTAGAACTCTCTGTCCAGACAATGTACATATTAAAGAAGCCAGAGAAGAAAAAACTGTGGGTGTAGAACTGGGCTTTGCTTAAACAGGGTCTTGCTCTGTACTGTCTCATCTCTGACCTCTAAATTTGTGTGTTCCATTTTACGAGCTCTTTTATTTGCCTGCCAGAAGCAGAGGACTCTTTCTCCTCTTGCTTGCACTACCTTAAATCAGAAGTAACTCCACTGAGGTGGGGTTTATACAGCTATAAAACCAATGAGGGAGAAGAATCAGGCAAATTGGTGTCAGCTTCTCAGTTTGTGCATACTCCTGTGTTTTGTAGAGGCAGATAATCTGTGATACCAGATTGCTGATGTAGAGAATACACTATTGCTATTAATAATGTTTATTATTATTGTGCTTTTAGGGCAACCGAAATGGAGCCCTTACTGCTCTACAGATAGCATGAAATAGAGGAGATGGTGGCCCATTTTGAGTAGCTTCTGGTCAGAAAAGATAAAAATGTGAATCAAAGGAAAATTATTATTAATGTTAGATTCTTTTGCCACAATTTAAATATTTATAGTGTATTTAGGAAAGGAGAAAGAAAAGGAAGGAAAAATAGAGGCTAGTGTTGAGTTCCAGGTAAAGAGGAGAGGGAAGCTGTAGGGTAGCATGGAGGTTATGCTTAGATTAGAACAGCATGGAGCAGAATGGATGAGGTAAATGGGGTAAGCATCAACTTGGTAAGTACCGTGGTGTGAAAATGCAATCAAAACACATATTTCAGCTCCTTGATCACTGTCATTATCTTTCTTCATGTATGCTAAACTGTTGAAGGGGGGGGACTTCAACAAGTCCTTATGGTGCTCCTAGGGCAAGGTATGTTGCTTTTACCAGGCATTCTGCATTGGAGCAGGGAGAATGGATGACCCTTCATTGACTTCTGTCTAACTCTCTTCTGGTTAACTCCTGTGCTTTCCTCCTGGTTTGATCTCTGGCTAGATGCTTTTGCAGTTTTGTTTCCAGCAGCTGCATGGCTGCTGAGTTGTGGTCTCCTTTGAAAGTTTAATCCGTGACAAACTGTCTTGCAAATTGATAAAGTAGAAAATTTGTTTTTATTGTTTTTTTTTTCTATGCTATCTTAACATTACCTATTTAATAGAATATTTCGTGGCGACATTGGTGTAATGTGCCTGTTTTAGGATCGATCTCCATGTTCAAACAGGTGATTTTGGAAAGTAGAGCTGCTTTTGCCTTTCTTATTCTTCACAAACAAAAAAACAATCCTTAGATAAATTTGCATGAGGCATATACAAGAAGGACTAAGAACTTCTGAACAGAAGTATGACAATATGAAAATAGGTTTAGATTGTATGACTGAGATCTTGAACTAAACCTGTTCACTGACGAAGGTTCTGAGATAATGTGGTTCTGGCAGTCTTGTATCTTTAGTCATAGAGAAGAGCAGGGGAGAGACTGTCTGCAAAGTTAATGTGGCTGGGGATAATAAATAGGGGACTGCAGCTTCAGGCACTGCCAGTCCCCTGCAACCTTCACAAGCACCGTTATTCATCCTTCTAAATTAAAGGGTGAAAAAAGGCCCTTTTGTAAGCAGGCTTCATATTTGACTGGGAAGTGGGATTGCCTTATTGCATGCTATTACTTTGAGCCTGGGTTGTCTGCTAGCATCTGCCTTTCCTTGGAACATTCTTTATGGCAAAAAAGCAATTTTGGTTCTGAAAAGATGTGCATAGTTGTGTCCAATCCTATCATACTTTTTTTTTTTTTTTGGTGCCAAGAAGAACATTTCACTTTTTAGTAATGACATTTAAGCAAAATTGTTGTTTCTTTTGCGGATGAATAATTAGTTTTTAAAAATGTAATAGCTGTGTAACCAGTGGTCATGAAAAATTAATCTGTTGGTATCAGGAAGTACTTTTATTGGCCTCAGAATCACTGCATTTAAGTTGACACATCTGTACACTCCATAAATTGCAGTCAACAACTGTGGTCTGTTGATATTTTGTCTTGTTACCATCTGTTCTCTAGAAGCCATCATTTTCCATCCTTGCTGAAAGTACATTAAATAAGCCCTTAGGAAACATAATGTATTTGTCACTGAATCATTGATTTCATTTTTTCGCCTATGGATGTTCAGGGAAGGAGGAATGCCAGAGAGTTTTTTTGTTTTTGTTTTTTTTTTTTTTTTTGCATGCTATTTTATCGCAGCTCGGATAAGAATATAGAAACATATTTAAAAAGTTCATTGTAATACACTAAGATGTTCCTTTTGGGATGTTTTTGAAAGGGCCTCATAAAAGTTCATTGCTTTTGTGCACTATACTTTTATACTTTGTGGGAGGCTGGTGAATGAAAAGCATTATTATGGAATGATTATAACTCTATTAAAACATGACATTAATTATGACATGGGAAATGGCAGATCAATTAGTTGTAATTGTAATTGCAGGTATGCAATTTCTACTGCAGAATGTTTGAGATAATGGAAAAAGAAAAATGTCAACAAAGTAGAAGTCTTCCTTATCTATCCACACTTCTAGAAGTCAGAGTGCATCATACACATTCAGTCAGGAATTTTCTGCTACTAATTTTTTTTTGTAAAGAACTTGTAGGATTTTGGGATTTTATGTCATTAATGTTTGTTTACAAGAATTAATAATGTTCATTCTGGTACTGTTAGCACTACTACAATTCAGTTCATATATTCAGTTATTTAACTGAAAAGGCCAAACTTGAGGTGCTCCATCTATTCTGAGCTTTATTTTGAAGTAGGACCCTTGCAGGTTTAATCCTTCCTATTTTAATTAGTGTATTTCCAAATATACTGTGTTATTACACCATCCATGTAGATTAATATTAAAAATGTTTTGCAGTGAAATCTGAAATTGCAGGTTAAATTCTCGCATTATGTTTTACCTGATTGAATTAGTTATTTTGTTTGGAATGTTCTTTTCTGCCTATGTCTTTGACTTGGAAATTTGTCACCTGTAGCGTTAGCCAGAGATAAGTGGAGGAGTTACTGCTTCCATATAGTTATTACTGATTGCTAAAAATTATCTGTTGATAGAGAGGCGTGCTAGAGGCATTGATAGGGCTATTCTTGCATCTCAGGGTAGTCTCACAATTAATACATCAGAAATGACTCTTGAAAATTAGGATTCTAACCCTGTTGCTTTGAAAGTTTTCTTCTGAGTTGCGTTACTTATGTAACGAATTGTCAAGATACAATTACGAGGCTCTCTGTATTGCTCGTCCCTCAAATTTGTGAGGCCTCAGGAGAGATGGATACCTTTGGCACTCAAGAATGGGTAAGAGAGATGAAGAAGAGATGGAGACTGAGACACACTGGTTATACACCTACTTATTTTGGGTGACCAGCTATGACTGGAAAATTCTTAAAGAACATTATGTATTACATTAAGCTCAAGGCTTAGCTTCAAGTGACTTCCTTTGAATTTCTGGGTGAAGTAGTACAGGAACATCAGACAAAGCATCACAAAAGTAAGGCAACAACTACTTTGGCAAACTTTGGTGGTGGAATAGCCTTCGTTAGGTCCTAAAATTGGCCATTCCACTGTAATAATCTTAAGGTCATCTTTTCCTTTCTTGAAACGTTCTACCTCATTAATGGCAGAACTTCTAGCCTCTAACAAATGAAGCAGAGGCTCCACCTGCAATCTGTTCACTGCACTGCTCTCCCTCCCCCAAAAAGTCTTGATTTGCTCAGTCAAGAGGCAAGAGTCCTGAGTCAAAAGGCTATATTCATTAGCAACAAAGCAGTTGCATCAAAGTTGCCCAGGAAGTTGTAATTATGACACTTCTTAACCACTAAAGTTTCCTCATATAGGTGCAGGATGTTGTTAGCATTCTACCATCCATGTTTTAAATATATATTTACCTAATGACTGGGAACAGAATAAAAAGCAAGAGTCCTTTCAAATACCTGATGTGGTGCTCTTTGAAAAGCAAATAAATGCAAATTAACTTGGAAAAAGAAAAGATCCCGAGTAGCACAGTCTTCCCTAGAGATCAGCTGACATCTCTTGAAATGTAGGAGTTGCAAGAACAGAATTAGAGAATGTGTTGATTTAAAATTTCAAGGCAAAAATAGATTTTAAATGTGTTTCTTGGAAGTATATCTGTTCGCAGATTTTTTCTTTACAACAGCTGGATATTATATTGTACATCTTGGAGATACACTTAGACATTTGGAGATTCTAGTATGAAGGAAAAAAAAGTCTTAGTTGGCAGTCAGAATTGTTGCAGATTTGCAGGATATTCTCTAGTGCCTTGACCAGTGCAGCATTTAAAATGACAACTCACAGTGCTTCTACTACTGCCTTTAATTATATTGGCTAATTTTTGTACAGTGCTTTGAAAATGTAAAGCACTGTGTGAGTGCTAAGTATTATTACTACAATTATTCTCTTGGGAGATTATTTCACAGACTAATAGACTTCACAGTTAAGAAATATTTCTTGATAGTAAGCCTAAATTTTCTCTTTGATCAGTCTCATTCCACTGCTCATAGCTGCAACTCTTTGGCTCATCCTAAACAATTCCTTGGTATTAATGTACCACCTCTAAATCTCTGTAGACAGTTTGCATGCATACTGTTAGCCTGTCTGTGTGACTCATTGAGATCTTGCTGCATAAATCCTCTAGCTGCTTAATCTTTCCCTGAAAGATGGAAATTCTCTCTAGGTTTTCATTTTCTTTACTGTTTTTTTCGTTTGCTTGTTTGGTTGGTTGGTTGGTTGTTTTTCTTTGGTATGTG